AGGCCTAATTCAATTAAGTCATATAGCAACAGACAAATCTAACACCAATTGATGCAGGACAGATAAGAAAAACTATTTAGCAAGAAAAAGACGTAGACGATGACATTATGGCTGTTGTAGCAATTATGATTTTGCGATGAAGTTCAATTGGCTTTACGTTGGGTCTTCGAATATGCCTTTATCTGATTAACCTTATCTTTTAAGTAAATCGTAGTTATTCATTTGACTAAAGTTCTTTCACCTCGATCTAAAGGTTTACCCCTAAAACATTTAATACATTAGTTCCCATCGTCTTAACTAAATATGCTTTGGAATTTACTTTTTAATGCTGCCGAGTTTCCATGAAAATTTTATTTGATTAAAAAAATTTTATCAATAAAAATGTAAGCAATCATCATCAGTTTATTTTTTGATATATTTCAAGTCTTTTTATGTAAATAAAAATACATTTTCTTAGAACGCTGTATGGAGAAAATAACCATGCCGTATAAATGTTACAGTTGTTCAAAGCAATTAGCACTCATGGTCTGGGTAATTAATTCTCCAATCGATATATCATTAGGGAGAAAGCATATGGGATCCATGAACAATGATCTTTATCTACAGTTTTGTGGTTAATGCAGTATCCATAGGGTATATAAGGTTTGCTCAAAGTTTTCAGCTATGAATAGCCAGTAGTAGTTTCGGGCCTGTAATAAACTTCGAATAAGTTATCTTAGGTTAAGTCATCTGATCATATCTTCATGTATATAACTCAGTCCCATTTAATTATAAAACGTTAACAACTACGTCGCATGAGTCACCTGTTTATATATCTAGCAAAATATGGTAATTACGAGTGTTCGTGTTAACTTTTTATGCCTAACAAACATTTACTATGAATACTTCCCTTTCGATGACAATCTTTACTATAGTAAAAAAGTGAGATATGATTTGAGAAAAAAATCCAAATTAAAAGTTATAAAATTAATGTTAAGACTAATATTGAAAACCCAAATCTTATTTTCAGCTTACAGTTTCATTGAACCGGCAATTTACTATAATTCAGTAATCATAATTCAATACTACAACCAAAGATTTTTTACGTTCAGAAATAAATAGATTGATATTAGGATTCCAATTTAACGTATTTATTTTTGTAAATTAAAACTTATATAAGAACTGTAAATAAAAATTAAAAAATCATTTTGGCAAGGACGGAAAACAGTTTCTATAAAAACATTTGTTAATTTAAAATTACTTTTATCTCAACATACTTCATCGAAATATCCAATACAATTTCAAATATGCTTCAGGCAATTGTGTACCTTGTCATAAATTATACGTACAGTAGTTGAGATGCTTACAGGATAACACATCAAATGCCGCTTTGACGAAGTATGAATACGTAAGCCCTCTAGGAATTAGCAATACGCAGTATTTGAAAGGGAAATTTTGTTACAATAACAGAATAATATCACAACCCAATAACAGATCGGTGTGTATCTCTAAGACACGCTTCAGAATTGTAAATATAGTCAGAATACACTGTTACCCCTTGACTTGAAACGAACCCCGTTGAATATTGAATAGCCGTTGACGCAGGGATGCGTAAGGAAGGATTCATGCAATCTATTGTAATTAATTTCGTGGAATATTCCATTTACAACAAGCTTCAGATTGTAAAGGACCAGGCAATCAGACTCAGATTCGTAATGAAGATTACAGGTATTGAGTCATATAACTTACTTGAACTAAAATCCAATAGCTTTGAGCTCTGTAGGTTACAATTAATTAACCTAATCAACTTACTTACTACCTTAACTTTGAGTTACCCCAAATATATTACCGTGTTATAAATAAGATTTTTAGATTTAGTTGATGATACACACAATTCAATGAATGAATAAGGGCCACACCCCTCAACCAACAGGGTGGATGCCCTGTTGGTTTACACAGCATGGATCTAATTGAATTTTGATTATTACACTAATTACTTCAGAGCATTCATACTCTAAAAATTTCACATCGAAGTAAAATAGCTTTTAAAAGTATCAATAATTTGAAACATCAGAAATTAATTTCATCCATGTAACTAAAATTTAAAGATAAAGTTCAATTAAACTTTTACAATTGAATTTAAAAATAACAATTGAGTAGAGGTTCACACCTTTGTACCAATTTAGGTTTATCTGTAAAAAAGTATGTTTGCTAGAAATGCAACTGCTTACTTCTTTTTTCTCTATACTTTTTTTAATTATTTCTTCTTTCTCTCCAGAAATGATGAATTTATTTTTGAATACACGGACGACCGACCGATTTTTATATTGCTATAATATAAGGCTAACCTTACGATCGAATTAATTTATTGTGGAGACCTAGGTTTATACGCCGGAGCGTTATCGTCAGTCCTAGGCTGAGCTAAACTTTTTGTTTTTCATCTCTTACTTGAGATATTTGTATTCAGTTTTTATATTTGACGTGTAAGCAGGTGTTTGATAAAAATATTTAAACAATTAGGGAAAATATTAAAAATATTAAAAGAATTTCCAAGGTGTTTCAGGTAATTTGATTTTTATGTAAAAAGAGATATTGTAGCTCTATGGAACAATGCCATTTGTTGATTTAATGTTGTGGGTATCCAACCGCAGAGTTTTGAACGTTTTATTTTATATTTCTTGCCAATTTATAGAGATTAGAAAATTTACACAATTTATAAAGTAGGGGTTAAGAATATTCTTGGAAGATTACAGCTACCTAACCCTTGTAGAAACAAAATTGTGGAATATTGAAATTTGTTTATTAACTAATTATATGAAATTAATTAATTACTTTTATTTATAATTATTTATTAACTGGTCATGGTTTACAGTTGGAATAATTTTGGAATCTACTTTTACGTAAAAGTACGTTAGGCTATGTCCTAGTTTCTTGATTGAAAGCTGTAAGGTAAATGATTCTACAGAATATAGGCTGTTTAACAAGGCTGTTTAAGGAGCAAAAGATAGCTCGAGCGTATAATAGATACAGTTACCATCTCACAAAGCATCTAATTTTCTCCCAACCTGTTAACTGATGAATAACTAATGAAGATAAACTATTAAGTGTATTCAGAATCAACAAAGAGAAAGGTTTGTGATTTACATGATATTAAGAAAGTACGTCAATGCAAGTACAATTGCTAATATAATACAAGAACTTAAATAATTTTCTGTTATCAATGAAAAATTATAAACTAAATTAATTTACTGTTATGTTTAATTAGCTACTGCACGTGTTAAAAGAAATATAATTTCAAGTCAGATGTGTTGCATTGTGGAATGACAGATTTTGAAGTATGTGAACAAAGTAATAATAACGATGTAGTTATCCTCATTGATACCATGTAGATTATTTAATACTTACTTTCATACGCCCCATTTCAAAAAGTTTTTAAACCAGGACCAAGAGCCTTCCATTAGAAAAGCGGTACAGTACCTTTATTGCAATTGGTGAATTTTATATTTATTTATTCAAACCTGTTAATTTCCTGTTATGCATTGAACAATAATTCTCTTCGATGTTATTAGATCTAAAAAAGTAAACAATAAATCACAATTTTTACATCGTCTTAGTTAAACCATTGAGTTTATATTAGATTATATAATTAAGAACTTATAATTAAAAAGAGCTCATTACAGGTCGTTTGTAAAGCATCAAATACAGTTCCGTGTTTAAAAGTTAGTTTGCATCTATTTTCTCCATTAATAATAATATAAATAATGAATCATTAATCCGTGTTTTTTACACTCTCGGCAGAAAACTGCTAGGTTCTTAGAATGTTTGACATTTCTTTAAGCTGATCTTAAATGGTATAATAAGGAGTCATGTTACACATAAATTTTAATTAATGTTCGTGCCTACAATAGTGCATGTTTTTACTCTCTTTCTTAACTTTGTACTACCTTAACAGTATTTTTTTACAAGTTCTCGTTAAACTTTATGTATATAAACACTAAAGATCGCTTGATGAATAGTATAACATCTAACTGATGTTTATTTCAAGACCGTCCTAAGGGATTTTACCTCTGAACTTATTAATAAAATACGTCGATGCATCTAAAGTATACGAATCGAGCTATTATGTTAATTATGTTCAAATAATCATAAAGCTTTTGTTTAACTACAAAGAACTTATCAGAATGATTGTTCAAAAAACATTCTTTCGTTGGAGGTAAAAGTGTAATACTCAATATGTTTTAGAAATTGAAAGATTTTTTTGTATACAACTTTATTTTGTACCGTATACATCACATGTACGTTCGTAGATTAAGTACATTTAAAAAACGTTTAATGCGTTTCAAGAAGAAAACGAGTTAAAAAGTGTTACTTAAACATTTATTTTATTACGAACTACAGCACTGGTTTTAAATTAAGACAGGTCAAAGCTCTGTCTTAACACACTACCGCTTCTTTTGAAGCTTACTTACCATCTCAAATTACAAAAATCAACTCTTTGAACGAAACCGCCTTTCCCTGAAACCATTTTACAACTTTAAATAGATATAATTACTGGAGTTAACCTTCCTTTTCATAACTTTTTTGCATAGCATAGTATTTAATTAAAGTAATCCAACCTGCAATGTTCATATGCAAAATCTGTTCTATGATTAAAGAGAAATGTCATTGAAGATACGTATGATGTTTATATGTTTTATACATGTACCAAAAGAAAGCTTTGTTTGGATCTTATAAGGTTTGAAATAATTTGAGTCGTGGCACAAATTTTAATCTATATTCTACGACATTTTATTATGTCGTAATGTTTTTAAATATTTACGATCGAAAGCGACATTTCATTGTTGTGATAAAAACAAATATTGTTTACAAATGTAATGGATGTCAATACATTAAAAATATGAAGGTTGGTTAAATTAATGAAAAAACAACAATGGAAGTTTAGTATGTTTTTTATAGTTTTATGATTAGTTTCATGAGTTGTATAGACTCAACTTTAAGGATGTTAAATATTTACCATCAAAAACTTTTCACTTTTCGATTTATTTTGACGAGTTAAATAAAAAAGTTAATCTACATAGGTCACATTCAGAAGTATATTAAATTATACATGCAGTCTTCCAAGCTTCTCGGCTATGGAAGGCTCAGATTTGGAGTAGTCGACTTTCTTGGGCTCCTCCACCTTGTTGTCCTCGACCTCAGCTGGGAATCCCTCCTGGTATTTCTAGAAATCAAGATAGTATTAAGTTGGCATAGCAGGTTCTATGAAAAAATTAAACAGTTTTTGTCAATCTTCTACTACGGTACTGAGTTTTGAAAGTATGTGGGTGGTGAAAATAAAGCAATTAAATTTACTTTTATAACTTTTGAAACTTTTCGATTCTTTATGAAATAAAATTTTTGGGTGGATTGATGCATCTAGGGGTCAAATAAAACTACTCAAACTGTGAAATTGAAGTTTTAAAATTAGAATTATTTCCAAAAAGGTACCATCATAGGCATAATTCATTATCATCAAACTAATGCATAAAGCAGATGGGTTTGTCAAGAACGTTTAAAGTAAATTGAAACCAGTAACCTATTCAAATCTGAATTCAGTTAAACTATACTGTCATAGCTACTATGTAGAATATTTTGTCTTAAATTTTACATAATATACCTCTTACGTTTCACTTTTAAGATTTGTTTACAAAAATCTGGTTAAAAAGGAAATAGATTGAAATTCTAAAACTGAAAATTTTTCCAAGAAGTCTGTACAACAAACAATCCTTTATCAACAGATCTGTATTGCTTATAATAGGTATAACATCCCTCGTGAGGCTACAAAAGCCACATGAGATTCAGCAGTTAGGGCGAGAAGGTTCACTCGATACACTAAGCACTTGTATCATGAATAGCTGAAGATAAATCCTTCAAATCCAAATGCATTCATCTACTAATACCTCAAGGATGAGTTTGGCATGATATACATCCGTACATGAATGGTTGCACATATAGAAGACGAAACTCAAGTGTTACATTCAATAATACTATTATTTTAATATAAAAATATTCGAAAAATTAATAAACGTATTAATTAAATTGGTGATAAATTATTATTAATTTAAATATAAATTAAATCCGGCCTCGGGTTTATTGATTAAAATAAATTTCAAGTTGAAGTATACTTTAGAAAATGAAAAGATTTATATCGATACTGTTATATTTCCTAGTCTATTGATATGATGCATATTTACTTTTGACTAATTTAAATTGTCATATGGTTTTGTTTTGTTGTTGTCATAATAGTTTTATATGAGTTGTTGAAAATAGAAGTGTGGTATTAAAAAGTCTAGTTTTATCTAATTTTATCTTTATAGTTTTCATCACTTGAAGAAGGTAGGTGTGTAGTGTAAAACAACATTTGGCGACCGTGACAGGACTTGTTTTTCACCTATCTCTATGATGAAAAATCTAAAGAAAAATAGAACAGTATATAGGGCTTATTTTTCTAAAACATTGAACAAACTAAACAGTTTAGTTGAAAATGAAACCACAGACAAAATTGAAATTCAAACCACTCTAAAGCTTTTGGAGATAAAGGTTGATGAACTCCAGGTTTTGAATTCTCAGATCTTTGATTTGTTATTGAATAATGATAATGTTTCTGAAGATGAGCTGTTAGCTGAAACAATCAAAGCTGGAGAATATTTAGCTTTGTTTGAAGCTGTAAAATTAAGAGTCCAGAATTTACTACAACAAAGTAACGATGTAGTTAGTGCTCATTCTGGATCTTACTGTAAGAATGTTAGTAAGAAGAAATTTAAGCTCCCTAGAGATTAAAAAGTTTGATGGAGATTTGATCAATTTGCTACCTTTTTGGAGTCAGTTTAGCAAAATTCATAGTGACTCAGACATTGATTCAGAGGATAAGTTTCAATATTTATTGCAATCCATAATTACCGGATCAAGAGCTTTTGATGTAGTTCAGAGTTTTCCTCCGACTGGTGCAAACTATCCAAAAGCAATTGAATGTTTGAAAGCCAGATTTTGTAAAGATGACCTATTGGTAGAGGTTTATGTCAGGGAACTCTTGAAAATTGTTTTACAAAATGCTCTAGGAGACAAGAACACAATGAACTTACAAAGTTTGTATGACAAACTTGAGTCTCATATGCGTGCATTAGATACCTTGGGAGTTACAACAGATAAATGTTCCTCCATGTTATACCCGTTAGTTGAAAGTTGTATGCCTGAAGATCTCTTAAGGGCGTGGCAAAGAAGCCCTTTGAAAGTAGGTACAGACCCTCAGGAAAGACTCAACAATTTAATGAAGTTTATGTTGTCTGAAGTTGAAGGGGAACAGAGAATCGGTCTAGCCATGGCAGGTTTTGGGATAAGTAGCTCTGGGAAGGAGAAATCTTTTAAAAGGTCACCTCAAACTCAACCAGGTAAGATAGACATACCAACAGCTTCATGCCTCATGTCCTCTGGTAAAACTCAAAACTCTTATACAAAGTGTGTCTTTTATGATAAGAATCATAAGAGTAGTAACTGTTTTGCTGCTCAGAAATTGCCATTGTCTGATAAGGTGTCCACTTTAAAGGAAAAGAAATGCTGTTTCCTTTGCTTGCAGCCTGTTCACCGTATTAAGGATTGTAGAGCTCATTTGTCATGTTCTAATTGTAAAAGGAAACATTATCCTATAATGTGTCCTAGTATTCATTCCAAAGAAGTAGTGAATGAGTGTGTAAGCAAATGTGTTGATGAGGTATCTAAAGAAATGACAGTAGTGGAAGATACTGCTTTGGCCAATAAATCAAGTAGCAGAGTGAAAGTGTTTCTGAAAACAGTAAAGGCAAGATTAAGAACTCCAGGTAGTAATCAATTTGAGACTGTTCGCATTCTTTATGATTCTGGTTCACAGCGTTCTTACATTTTAAAGGACTTGGCTGAAAAAATGAATTACGAAAGCTTAGGAGAAGAAACAATCATATACTCTCTTTTTGGTAATGTCAAATCTGGTGAAGTAATTCATAACAGACATCGTGTGTTTCTAACTAGTCAAGATTACAGTTACAACTGCAACTTTGAGGTAATTTATTGAGTCAAACTACCATATGTGGGGAAATTCCACCCGTTACCGAAGGTCCCTGGATACAGGAACTTTTAGAGAAAAATGTTTCTCTGATTGACATACATGAGACCGAGCTACCAATTGGTATTTTGATTGGAGCGGATATAGCGGGTAAACTATTCACGGGAAATATGATTCAACTGAAATCTGGACTAGTGGCTATGGAAACTCTTCTGGGATGGACACTGATGGGTAAGGCTATAATTAGTGGTAGTACAGGTTCAACTACACTCTCCACTGTTGTAACATCAATGTTTATTAATGATGCTGACATATCGGAACTGTGGAGATTAGACACTATAGGCATTACTGATACAAGTGAATCAGTTTCCAAAGAGCAAAAGGCTTTGGCAGTTAAAAAGCATTTTATAAAAACTACCACTATAAATGAAGAAGGTCGATATGAAGTAAGTTTGTCCTGGGTTGATTGTCATCCTCCTTTGCCTAGTAACAGAGAGCTAGCCGAAAAGAGGTTATCAACAGTTGTAAAGAAATTGGATGGTAACAATTTAACCGAAGACTATGACTCAGTTTTTAAACAGTGGTTAAGTAATGGCATCATTGAAGCTGTACCTTCTGACGATTTGAACAACAACTTTCACTAACTGCCGCATAGACCTGTAGTGAAGGAGAGTAGTATTACCACACGAATTCGTCCAGTGTTTGATGCATCAGCAAAGACCAAGTTTTCACCCTCATTGAACGACTGTATTGAAAATGGACCAAATTTAATTGAACTGATTCCTTCTGTTATGATGCGTTTTAGGGAAGGGAAGTTTGGAGTTATTGCTGATATAGCAAAAGCCTTCTTACAGATATCGTTAAATGTACGAGATAGAGATTTTCTTCGGTTTTTATGGTTTGACATCAATGAAAGAAGCCGAAGTATTCTTTACCACCATAAAATAGTTGTTTTTGGAGTGAAATGTAGTCCATTTCTTCTAGGGGCAGTAATTGATCTGCATCTTCAAAAATCTATGACTTCTCAGGAGTATGATGATAATGTGGTAAAGAAGCTGAGTAAAAGTTTTTACGTGGACAATGTTTCGACCAGTGTAGATACTTATGAGGAACTAAAACACTTTGTTGAAGAATCGAAACTACTTATGGCTGCCGCTAAGTTTTATTTAAGAGGATGGCATGCCACGAGCATCATTGAAGAAGGAGATACCAAGTTCGTCACTAATGTTTTGGGAGTTCAATGGAACTATATTGAGGGCGTTCTGTTTTTTAACCTGGCGAACTGTATTAAAGGTTTGGACGTGTCTCGAATCACAAAGAGAGACATTTTATCCATATCTCACAAGATCTTTGATCCAATTGGTATCCTTTGCCCTGTTACTTTGTTTCCTAAACTTCTTCTGCAAAGTATGTGGGACTTGAAAATTGACTGGGACACTGAAGTAAGTTCAGACATCAGTAAAAGATTCATACTGTGGTATAATGAGTTAAGTTTTCTTGAAAAAGTGAAAATACCCCGATGGATAGGTAAAATGACTATAGATTCAAATGGTTGTAGTATTCATACATTTTGTGACGCAAGTAAAGATGCCTAAGAAACAGCTATTTACTTGAGAGTTGAAATTGAAGATGAAGTAAGAGTCCAATTATTGTCTGCAAAATCAAGAGTTGCTCCTCTGAAGAAAACCACGATTCCAAGATTGGAATTATTAGCCGCCACGGTGGGAGCACGTCTCACAAATAGCACATGGGACATTGTTGAGACCTAACAAAGATTGTATCCGCTTGAAATCTCATCAAAAGATATAAACGTGGGAAAAGAAGTTAATAGTGATGGACTTAAAATCGAAAATACTCAAGATGAAATTAAAACACAAGCTGGACGAAAAATCAAAGTTCCAAAAAGGTTAATGTGTGAGTAGTAATACTACACGGTGGGAGGATGTTATATTTCCTAGTCTGTTGATATGATGCATATTTACTTTTGACTAATTTAAATTGTCATATTGTTTTGTTTTGTTGTTGTAATAATAGTTTTATATGAGTTGTTGAAAATAGAAGTGTGGTATTAAAAAGTCTATTTTTATCTAATTTTATCATTATAGTTTTCATCACTTGAAGAAGGTAGGTGTGTAGTGTAAAACAACAGATACGAACTATCCCCATTATTATTCATTGCATGTTATATTTTGGAATGTAAATAATATCAACCCTACTTACCCAATTTAAATATCCATGGTCTACAGAGAAGGAATGTAAAAAGAAATAAATTGATATTCCCTAAAGCTTTAGTCCTCATATTATTACATGTTTAAAGACAGAACGTTGTTTTATGGAACATGTAACATAGGATTTAATGTAGATGGTTATTACATTTAGCAGAAGTTAGTCTTGGTAACCCAATGTAATTGAGGCTCTTCTTCACACGTATATCTTAATCAAAGTTTTTAAATTAAAGATTTCTTTCCTAAACAAATCTCAACTGTGCGTCACCGCATATCACTGATCTATGAGGTTATCCAGAGTATATTGTTGTGGTTAGTTCCCATAGTCAAGCCGAAGATGACTTTAAATATATGGTAGTTGAGGTGGCTCTTTGTGTATCTGTGTTTACCTCTTCCAAAAGCTCGACCAGAGCTTCTTGGTTGTCTTCCATGGCAGCCTCCAGGTCCTCCTCGTTGAAGCCCATAGACTCCATGAGGTCGTCACTCAATTCCTGGAACTCTCCATCCAGGACGTAGTCCCTAGGGACAGTCACTTCCTCCCTGGTCTCCTCCACGATCGTAGTGACAGTTGCCACTCGGCCCTTGGCGTCGTTCAACACCTTTGAAAGATTCACTCCCATGAGTTATTCTAAAATTTAGTATACAATATTTGGAAGTTCCAACATGAAAAATTACGTGAGCGACTTTTGCCAACAGGGTTCTCACATTCAAGATAACAGTGACAAAGTTCGATAGTAACCAATATAAAGTAAGCAGATTCTTAAAAGTTCTTACTTATTGACAAGACGGAAAGTAGTGTTAAGTTTTATTAGTGACGTTCAGTATGTTTCATACCCAAATAAACTTAAAAATTGCAAAATAAGACGAATCTCGTATATAATGTATCTAGTCAATGATATAACTAAATAATGTAAAATTGTTTTACATATTTATGCAGAACGAGTACTAAATTAGTACGATGGTACTGGTGCCAGTTAGAATGTGGTACTGGCACATTTCATTATATCTCACAAACGTTTACTTTAAAAACGTGACAGGAATTGCTATTTACCTTCTCACAGATCATGACGGCGTCGGACATTGCCATCTCACCGATTGAAGGAAGATGAGACACCAAAGGATGGTTGATGTCGAGGAGAGGCTGGGCTACTGTCATCTGGTGTCCCATCAGAGTACACATCTGTACTGGTGTGATGTCTGTAAGTAAAAATAATATAATATAGCTACAATCATGACATTGTTATACATTTTAAAATTTTCATCACCACCGTAATTTTATAGAAGGGTTTAGTTTCAGTATTCTGGCTTCGTGAAGACAAATCAATCGACCTACCATATCAGCTTGAGGTTTACCCAACTCCTTGCTAAGTGTGTCCAGAGCTTGTGGCTGTACAGGCTTGTACTACACTTGAGAGCTTTACTCCAGTAGAAACTATTACAGATTAGACGATCATAACTTATCTCACAGCTTCAGTTACCAAGAACCTACTGCTCCTTGTTCCTAGAGTCTCACACTCTCTTATGAGCTGAGTGCCAAGGAATTAATAACATAAGCCCCGGACATTGTACTTTCACCAAGATAGACTGTTGTGAATGCTTTCTGACATGAAAGTGTCTAGTTAATGAGTACCCCAACTTTGTATCTTTCCTCTATAGAGTGTGAAGTGTTTATAATGAAGTTTAATGAGTTAATGTTCGGGGATAAACTGAAATTCTTTCAGATGCTACTCCCGTACAAACGTTTAAACTGTCTTACATACTAATTACTAATTACTTAATACTGAGAGCTCGATTCGCATGCCAAGTAAAGTATTTGATAAATGTAGACTGCTGTGTTCAGGCAGTGACTAATTTTTAAATTGAAGCCCTGTGGTACACGTTATCTTAATCCAAAGTGTCAAGTTTTATTTAATGTTTACTACAAATACCGGGATTTATCTTTCTTACATATTTTCTTATTGTGTTATTATTCAAAATTACCTAATTAATAAAGAAGAGTTAAGCCTGTTTAGGCAAAGCGTTGTATAATTCCATAGTCACTTGACATTTACCACACACCTTTTGCCTTTGCACTTCCCTCCAATTCCTATACGTCGTAGACCTGTTTCCATCATTCCCTAAGCCTTATTAAGCATAAAAGAGTTGTAAACTTGTTTTAAAACGGTTAAAAAACTTGCTTCAAAACAATTGAAAAACTTGTTTTAAAACTTGTATTAAAACAATTGAAAACTTGTTTTAAAACTTGTATTAAAACAATTGAAAAACTTGTTTTAAAACAAGTTTTTTAACCGTTTTAAAACAAGTTTACAACTGTTTTGAAACAAGTTTACAACTGTTTTATTCTTTAAAAAAAAGGGTTAGGGAATGATGGAAACAGGTTCACGACGTAAAGGAAATGGAGGGAAGTTGCAAAGGGCTGGAGTGTGGGAAATGTCAAGTGACTGATGAATAATACAACGCCTTTCTTAAACAGGCAATCTTAAGGAATGATGGAAACAGGTCCACGTCGTAGAGGAAGTGGAGGGAAGTTGCAAAGGCAAACGGTCTGGAGTATGGCAAGTGTCAAGTAAGTATAGAATACTACAAAGTCATGGAAGTAGGGGGAAGTTGCAAAGGCAAAAGGTCTGAAGTGTGGAATATGTCAAGTGTCAAGTTGTATTTAATGTTTACTACAAATACCGGGATTTATCATTCTTACATATTTTCTTATTGTGTTATTATTCAAAATAACCTAATTAATAAAGGGTTAAGCCTGTTTAGGCAAAGCGCTGTATAATTCCATAGTCACTTGACATTTACCACACCCCACACCTTTTGCCTTTGCACTTCCCTCCAATTCCTATACGTCGTAGACCTGTTTCCATCATTCCCTAAGCCTTATTAAACATAAAAGAGTTGTAAACTTGTTTTAAAACAGTTAAAAAACTTGTTTTAAAACAGTAAAAAACTTGTTTTAAACAATTGAAACCTTGTTTTAAAACTTGTATTAAAACACTTGAAAAACTTGTTTTAAACAAGTTTTTTAACCGTTTTGAAACAAGTTTACAACTGATTTGAAACAAGTTTACAACTGTTTTATTCTTAAAAAAAGGGTTAGGGAATGATAGAAACAGGTCCACGTCGTAGAGGAAGTGGAGGGAAGTTGCAAAGGCAAACGGCCTGGAGTGTGGGAAATGTCAAGTAAGTATAGAATACTACAAAGTCGTGCTTCAAAAAGGTAAAGGAATGATAAAAACAAGTCCACGTTGTAGAGGAAGTAGGGGGAAGTTGCAAAGGCAAAAGGTCTGAAGTGTGGAAAATGTCAAGTGTCAAGTTGTATTTAACGTTTACTACAAATACCGGGAGTTATTATTCAAAATAACCTAATTAATAAAGGGTTAAGCCTGTTTAGGCAAATCGTTGTATAATTCCATAGTCACTTGACATTTACCACACCCAACACCTTTTGCCTTTGCACTTCCCTCCAATTCCTATACGTCGTAGACCTGTTTCCATCATTCCCTAAGCCTTATTAAGCATAAAAGAGTTGTAAACTTGTTTTAAAACAGTTGTAAACTTGTTTTAAAACAGTTGTAAACTTGTTTTAAAACGGTTAAAAAAGTTGTTTTAAAACAGTAAAAAAACTTGTTTTTAAACAATTGGAAAACTTGTTTTAAAACTTGTATTAAAAAAATTGATAACTTGTTTTGAAACTTGTTTTAAAACTTGTTTTAAAACTTGTATTAAAACAATTGAAAACTTGTTTTAAAACTTGCATTAAAACAATTGAAAAACTTGTTTTAAAACAAGTTTTTTAACCGTTTTAAAACAAGTTTTTTAACCGTTTTAAAACAAGTTTACAACTGTTTTGAAACAAATTTACAACTGTTTTATTCTTTAAAAAAAAGGGTTTGGGAATGATGGAAATAGGTCCACGACGTAAAGGAAATGGAGGGAAGTTGCAAAGGCAAAAGGGCTGGAGAGTGGGAAATGTCAAGTGACTATGGAATAATACAACGCCTTGCTTAAACAGGCTTAAGGAATGATGGGAACAGGTCCACGTCGTAGAGGAAGTGGAGGGAAGTTGCAAAGGCAAACGGTCTGGAATATGGGAAATGTCAAGTAAGTATAGAATACTACAAAGTCATGCTTCAAAAGGGTAAAGGAATGATAAAAACAGGTCCACGTTGTAGAGGAAGTAGGGGGAAGTTGCAAAGGCAAAAGATCTGGAGTGTGGAAAATGTCAAGTGTCAAGTTTTATTTAATGTTTACTACAAATACCGGGATTTATCTTTCTTACATATTTTCTTATTGTGGTATTATTCAAAATAACCTAATTAATAAAGGGTTAAGCCTGTTTAGGCAAAGCGTTGTATAATTCCATAGTCACTTGACTTTTACCACACTCCACACCTTTTGCCTTTGCACTTCCCTCCAATTCCTATACGTCGTAGACCTGTTTCCATCATTCCCTAAGCCTTATTAAGCATAAAAGAGTTGTAAAATGGTTTTAAAACAGTTGTAAAGGCAAAAGGGCTGGAGAGTGGGAAATGTCAAATGACTATGGAATAATACAACGCCTTGCTTATACAGGCAATCTTAAGGAATGATGGAAACAGGTCCACGTCGTAGAGGAAGTGGAGGGAAGTTGCAAAGGCAAACGGTCTAGAGTATGGGAAATGTCAAGTAAGTATAAAATACTACAAAGTCATGCTTCAAAAGGGTAAAGGAATGATAAAAACAGGTCCACGTTGTGGAGGAAGTAGGGGGAAGTTGCAAAGGCAAAAGATCTGGAGTGTGGAAAATGTCAAGTGTCAAGTTTTATTTATAGTTTACTACAAATACCGGGATTTATCTTTCTTACATATTTTCTTATTGTGTTATTATTCAAAATAACCTAATTAATAAAGGGTTAAGCCTGTTTAGGCAAATTGTTGTATAATTCCATAGTCACTTGACATTTACCACACCCCACACCTTTTGCCTTTGCACTTCCCTCCAATTCCTATACGTCGTAGACCTTTTTCCATCATTACCTAAGCCTTATTAAGCATAAAAGAGTTGTAAACTTGTTTTAAAACAGTATTAAACTTGTTTTAAAACGGTTAAAAAACTTGTTTCAAAACAGTAAAAAAACTTGGTTTTAAACAATTGGAAAACTTGTATGAAAACAATTAAAAACTTGTTTTAAAACTTGTATTAAAACAAATGAAAAACTTGTTTTAAAACAAGTTTTTTAACCGTTTTAAAACAAGTTTACAACTGTTTTGAAACAAGTTTACAACTGTTTTATTCTAAAAAAAAAAGGCTTAGGGAATGATGGAAACAGGTCCACGACGTAAAGGAAATGGAGGGAAGTTGCAAAGGCAAAAGGGCTGGAGAGTGGGAAATGTCAAGTGACTATGGAATAATACAACGCCTTGCTTAAACAGGCTTAAGGAATGATGGAAACAGGTCCAAGTCGTAGAGGAAGTGGAGGGAAGTTGCAAAGGCAAACGGTCTGGAGTATGGGAAATGTCAAGTAAGTATAGAATACTACAAAGTCATGCTTAAAAAGGGTAAAGGAATGATAAAAATAGGTCCACTCTGTAGAGGAAGTAGAGGGAAGTTGCAAAGGCAAAAGGTCTGGAGTGTTGAAAATGTCAAGTGACTATGGAAATATACAACACCATGCTTAAAAAGGCTTAGGGAATAATAGAAACAGGTCCACGACGTAGATGAAGTGGAGGAAAGTGGCAAAGGGAAACGATCTGGAGTGTGAGAAATGTCAAGTGACTATGGAAATATACAACGTCATGCTTAAATATGCTTAAGGAATGATGGAAACAGGTCCACGACGTAGATAAAGTGAAGGAAAGTTGCAAAGGGAAACGATCTGGAGTGTGAGAAATGTCAAGTGACTATGGAAATATACAACGTCATGCTTAAATATGCTTAAGGAATGATGGAAACAGGTCCACGACGTAGAGGAAGTGGAGGGAAGTTGCAAAGAAAAACTGTCTGAAGTGTGGGAAATGGCAAGTGACTATGGAAATATACAACACCATGATTAAAAAGGCTTAGGGAATTATGGAAACAGGTCCATGACGTAGAGGAAGTGGAGGAAGTGGACTAAAAGATTTCATCTAAATAGTCCGTGACTAAATTGAAGCCCTGTGGTACACGTTATCTTAATCCAAAATTTTTATTTAGAACAACTAACTATCTACCACTGCAAT